AGGGTTGTAAAGTCATTTTATTGGGTGTGCAAGGGGTAGCCCTTGGAGGTTCAACCGTTGGGTCGGGAGCTGACCGGGTACTCAGAGTTGGAAGTGTTTTATCCGAGTCTGTTATTCAATTAGCGATTATTAGGGTGATATTATGCATGGGCGGTGTGTCGAGGAGACAGACCACTATAGTTTCCAGTTTTGGAGAATTAGAGCAGGTACTTCCACGGAAAAGGGGTCCGTCCTTCTTTGGCTTGGGAATTTCTTTTTGGTTTCGGATGTCTTGGGAGAGGGATCGTTGAATGTTAAGAGATTTTCCGGTTGTGCTTCTCGGGTTATTTGTTTCGATCTATGCGAAGCTAAAGAACGATTTCGAGGGCGAAATCTAATTTAAGTGGGGGAAAATTGTAACATCATGTTCCGGATTGTTTTGTGATTTAAGGCCCGTGGGCCTTAATCCGAGTATGAGAAGGTTTTAAGGCTTTGAAGGAGAAAGGTTTAGGCCCTTTTTGGGATGTGGATAAGGTAGGTTGTGTGATAAAAGAGTTCGGATTGTGCTTTAGAGCCCAAATGTATTGTTAAAGGCGTTGGTGCGGGCTTTTCATAAATTTTGGATCTGAGTTCGAGTGGGCTTTAGGAGGAATAAATTTGATATAAGTGTGGGGCTTCTCTTTACCTTTTCGTGGATATAAGGATCGTCGGAAACGGATTTATAACGAAGAAGTTATGGCTTTCAGAAGTTTCGTGGTTTCAGGGTTAGCCGAGTACGCTGGGGGTACACAAAGCGTACGCGGGGCGTACTAGTGAAGAAGGCAGTACGTTGGGCGTACTTTGGAGTACGTTGGGCGTACTGACCAGGATGGTCGCGAATGTTCTTCGGAGTACGCTGGGCGTACCATATGTACGTTGGGCGTACGCAAATCAGGCCTGAACCCTATTTTAGGGTCTTGGACCCTATTTAAGCTCCTTATCTCATAACCTAACCCTAATATCTTCAGCCTCCATCCCTCTAAACCCTATAAATCGACCCTAAGCCTCCATTGGAGTGATTCTTGAGCTTTTTGGTGATTTAGTGAAGTTTTTGGTGCTTATTGTGGAAGAAGGAGTTCCTTGAGGAAGCTTTGCTTGGCTTGGAGGTTGTGGATCCAAGCCCTAATCATATTGATCTAGCTCCAGAAAGTATAAAGTTTGAATCTTGGTGGCTTTCTTATGTGGATCTAGTGGGGTGATGACTTGTTATGTTTGTCCTTGGAAGAAGAAGGAGCCTTGAAAGAGAATAGCTTGAGCATCTAGCTTTTGGATCTGAGTTACACACTTGTTGGTGCATCTTCCAGAGGTATCAAGTTCGAAACTTGCTCATTGTTGTGCTAGTTCTTGTTTTGAGTCCATTTTTAGGGTTTTATGTCCCAATCTTGGAACTTTATGAGTTTGATGAACTCCAGAGTATAATATTTGTCCTTATAGATGCTTTTAGTCGTTTGGAGTCATAAAAATGAGATCTTGGTCGTCAAGATCTCTCCATGCATGAGATATGAGCATTTTTTCGAGTAAAGAGTGAGTGTATTTGGGTTTGGGACTTTATTAGCCATGCAAAGGCTTAAAGTCACTGACTTTATAGAGTAAGAGCTATTAGGGAGTCCAGATCTGTGATATGAGCCAAAGTCTTAACTGATTAAGACCAAATGAGTAGAAAGAGTGAAACCGGGACGTACGCTGAGCGTAATTCCATTACGCCCCACGTACTGACCAAGTGTCCCCGATGGCCAATCTGGATTTGTGAGTACGCTGAGCGTACCAAGGGAGGTACGCCCCGCGTAACCCCACTGTGGACTTTTGGGCTAAGTCTCATTTTGGGCCTTGAGTGTTGGGCCTGGAGTTTGAGCTTGTTGCACTAGAGTTTTGGACCAGAGGAATATATATATATATATATATATATATATATATATATATATATATATATATATATATATATATATATATATATATATATATATTCCTTGGGCCCTTGAGTTGGGTTTGTCACTTGGACTTGAGAGTTGGGCCTCGGGAGAGCCCATTCATTATTGGGCATTGGTGGGCCCAATGAGTTTTAAGTTATTGATGTGCTAGTTAGTGGACTGCCTTTAAACCTAAAGAGTGAGGATTTGGACTTAGATCTTAATTGGGTAATTGTGGATTTGGTCCAGTGTTAGAGGCTGGTGCAGCAGCAGCATCTATAGGAGTTGTTCATCATCCGAGGTGAGTCTTCTCACTATACTTACCATGAGTGGTATCTTTGTGTGACCGAGGTGTCTTATGTTCTTACCTGTATATTGTGATATTCTGCATTATGTCTTTGTGATTTATGTTGATTATTATTATTATGAGCTTATTGAGTTAGGACCGGAGTGTCTCCACTGAGACACATTGACCGGACGGTCGTATTGAGTTAGCCACGAGTGGCTAATGTGATGTGTGTGGTATTTTGGGAAACTCACTAAGCTTCGTGCTTACCGTGTTATGTGATATGTGTTTCAGGTTCTTCTTAGGATCGCGGGAAGGCGTCGGCTTGATTGTACACACCAGAGAAGAGTTATGTTTTGAGGATCCTAGATTATTAATCAAACAATTATGGAGTTGCGTTTTGTAAATTAAATAAATGAGATTTTTGTGAAATGTATTATGAGAATTATGTGATTTTAAAAATGAAAAAAAATTGTTTGAAAATTTACGGTGTTACATCTAACATGCTTAATCTAAGAAGGCAGGAACTTGATGACTTACAAGAGTCCGAAGGCAGCTCAATATGATGAGGAAGAGGCTTGCTAGCTGGGATGATGCACCAAAACGCATTCTCTTCTTCTAGGCTATAAATCACCAAAAAGGAGCTCACAATCAACAATTATGGATTAGGGTTTTCTTGAGGGTGAAGAGATGTGATGGAGGCTGAGGGTGTGCAAACCCTAGCCTTCACTTCCCTTAAATAGGATGCAAAACATAGAATTAGGGTTAACCCCCAAGTAGCCGTCACGTTGTGACCACCTAAAATGGATGTGTGTTTATGCATCGATGGTCACGTCGTGAGGTATCCTTCCTCACGTCGTGATCACCTAAAAAAAGCTATAATTTTACAACTTTAATTGACCAAAAACATAAATGAATCATTTACCTGAAATATGTGTTATAGTTGAATTTTATGTGGCATTAATTGGCTGATCAAGAAATTCGACTCTTGAGTTATGCATTACTTTATTTTTTTTATTATTATTATTATTATTATTATTATTATTATTATTATTACTTTTGTTGTGTTTGTATATTTGTGGCTGAAGATCCTTATAACCTAACAATATTATATAATTTTAATGATCAAATGAATACTAATGAAACACTAATTACTTAAAGCACAAGTTAATGATTCTTTGTTGCTAATAAAGCCTAGAAAATTAAACAAGTTACACATAATTTATAGAGGTTATATGTAAAAGGAATATTTACCTTCAATGATAATCAAATAAATACCTGATTACCGATATGTCAATATTTAGATGGCTTATTTAATCAACAAAATATTATACAGATCCTTAGCATGTGAAATTTCAATATACATCCTAAAAAACAATCTTTTCAATGAAATCTATCTTATAAGAATGACAAGTTGACGTTCATAACTACTTGGGCTTAATATAACCTTTTGGTGATCGGACCACAGGGCCAACATCTTTTTTTTTTTTTTTGATCTAATTGTCACCTTTATCATGGCCTTATAGGATATTAGGATGAAACATCATCATAAACTATTAATAATCAAATGCCACTGTTTATGTAAACCCGAAAAAATAAAAAATATATATTTCTTTTACGAATTTATCTGTCTGCTTTCTAATTTTTTAGTTTTAGTCCAATGTATTATTTTATTTTATTTTTGCGAATTTGTCCAAATTTTTTCTATTTTTTTGAATTTTTTTCTTTTATATCTCTAAAACTTGTTTTTTTAATATGTTTTTTAACACCTTTTATTTTCAGAAAAATACTTTTTACATGTTTTTTTACAAATTTTGTGTTTGCCAAACGGAAACAAGGCAGTGTTTTACAAAAACAAATATGCATAAAAGCCCATATATTTTGGACCTATTAACAAAAAAATCAATTAAACCATTAAAACCGGCTATTACTTGTAATTAAACTCAATTTTCAAATTAGGGCAAACAATAGCAAGTTTTGATTATTAAATTGTAAACAAAATATCAATGGTGACTTTTTATCAAAATGCCAAAATATAAATATTTTTTTTTATTACATAATAATTTTAACCTCAAGTTTTATCTATTTGAATATTAAGAGTGTATTTGAGATTTCATTTTAAACCTCAAAATAACTTATTGACTTATAGTGATGAGAAATGAATTTAAAAAAAATATATATATTTAGATTAGCTTAGCTTTTATACATTGTTTTTATACATTGTTATTATAACAGCCATCTTTTACATCTCCACATTTTTTTCTTTGAAAAGAATACTTTCAAAACATTTTTTACAGTTTTGTTTTTTATGAATTGTTTTTTGCAAAAATTACTCTTTCACATGTACGTTTTTATGTGCATGTTTTTTAATCTTCCCGCTTCAAAAAGTATTTACGTATTCCTTTTCATGCAAAAAGTGTTGTAAAAAATTATTCCCCTACAATTTTTTTTTTTACAAACTAAGAGTACGCTATTGTGTATAGCAAATTATGTTTTGCCTATTACATATACACAAATTTTCCACATCATCCCTTGGAAACTAAAAAACAACGTCAATAAAAATATACACAATCTTCCAAAAAATAATATCTAAAACCAAATTGTAATCTTCATATACAAAACAAGACTTTATATTGTCCTACATTCCACCAAGACCAAGACTCAGACTCGTAAATTTTTGTTTGTGTGGAAAAGACATAAATGCCCTTCTCATTTTCATTTCCGAAAATAACCCTAGAAAGCTTATCCAGTCCATTATTTAGTTGGGGTATATCATATATGATGATATCCTAGCATGAAGAGTGATTTTCATCACTACATGGGCCCCCAAAAATAGGTCTCATGTAAGCAGTGTCGAATCTTCTCCAATAGGAATGGATCGTGTAAACGGGTCTATCCATTAACATGGACAAATTGTCTTTTGCTCTTGAAAGATTTTCAGAAGCCGATTCTTCTACAGACAACAATGGAAGTGTCATGTCCTCTTTTGGAGATCCCGGATCACCCCTTGTTGTATTTGAATTATTACTACTAGTAGAAGGAAGTAGATGATCCACTAGTGGTTTTGTTAAAAAACCAAACACCTGAAACACAAATCACTTAGGGTAAAACCGTCTTTTTCTTTTTCAACAAAGTATAGTGTTTAATACTTACAATGGTACTGAAGAGCACGATGACAATAGTTGTGGTGATCATTGTGGCATTCGTGGGGTCCAGTGTCACACCCGAGTGAGTAAACTGTGCAAATAATAATTAATAATAGTGTTGAGTTTTAAATTTTAATTAATTGATTACAAAAGAATGACTTTAAAATTTAAATAAAATAAATATACTTGTTTGAATGCTAAGGCAACAGAAACAGCACCCCTCATTAAACCAGCCCACCAAATTACCATCTAAAAAATAAATTGTGTTTAGATTAAAATAAGCAAGAAAAAGATTATTTTTGTGTGTGTGTGTGTGTGTGTATTTTTACCTGGTGTTTTGTTGAGATTTTTGATGAGTCACCTCCACTTCTGTGCATGTAATTGGAAATAATAGAAAGGGGAAACACAAAAGCAACACGCCCAACCAATATTAACATCATCACAGTGCTGTAAATTCCCATTTTTGTCCAAATACTGTGACATGAATGTTAAGTAATAGAAAGGGTAAAATGGTCAATTACTCTTACTCACATCCAAACATGAGTGTGTGTAGATTGAATTTGTAAAAGGAAAAAATAGTGTTTACCTTAACATGCTCATTTTCCACTTCTCATAGTCGAGAGCATCCATTCCCACATAAAGGAAGATAAATGTTTCAGCAATGAAAGACAATGTTGCAAATGCATACCTGAGTTTACTTATTATTTGATCAATTAAATTCTTTTCTAAATGAGTGAAAAAAAAAATGAAAAAAATTTAGATGTGAATTTGATCATACATGCCTGGTGGTGATTCTTGAGCTTTCAGTCACATTATGCCATGAATAGTGAGACATCAAAACCCCAGCAAAGAAGACTGTTAGAATTCCACTGAGTTCAAATAGCTGCAAAATATAAATTTATCATATCTAACACACTAATTATATAAAAGATTTTAAAAAATGCATATTGGAAGAAGCTTTTTACCTCTGCCAACATGTAGGACAAATATGCTACAAGAACCATCAAAGCAATTTCTCTGACACTTGAATGCCTGTGAAAGAGATAATTAATGTGTTAAATATGTATAAAAAAAAAATCATCATATTTGGGTTTTCCTTAATTGATTTAAATGCAAGAAATAAATATCAACCTGCCAACATACAAGCCTCTAAGAATGTATGCTGTCACAAGCCCAGCCTGCAGAAAAGATTTTAACAAGTCAAAAAGCTTAGTTCATGAATCATATATGAAGACTCACAGATTTTTATTTGGACTTACTGAAACTCCAAGAAGTGTGCTTGTGGTGAATAGATATAAGAAATCTAGAAAGATTCCAAGAGCTGTGTGGCTATTAAGTGTATCTGCATTGATTTTTTGAACAGCATTGAAAAGAACAACAGATGTTGCATCATTCACTACACCTTCTCCAAACACTAGGCTATATAGTAAAGGTGTCTCATCTTGACTCAAAACCTACATATATAGTTTTGCATCAACAACCATAATCAATTTCATGTTTTGGTATCTGATGCATTCTGACTAACCTGTAATGTGCATACAGTATCTGTTGATGAGAAAATTGTCCCCCAATACCTAAACCATTGGTAACATAGTTTGTTAGGTTTTAGTTGAACAATCATAGCTTAGGGTTTATCAAATAATAAGAATTGATAGTTGATCATACTAAGATACTCGCTGATAGTCAAACCATTAAACCCTAATTTTGGAAACAGCCACCAACAACCTACACAAGCACCAATTACTAAATTTCAGAGTTGAAGATAAATGGTAAGTGATCATATGATTGTCAATACACAGAAGTTTAACATCATACCAGCTGCAACTATAGATGTTGATATGAGAACACCTGTGACTCCAAACAACATGATAGGGAAAAAGTTGTGGAAGAATTGTTTCTTCTTCACCTGAAAGCTGTTCATAGTAAGCTTAAAAATTAGGGTTACATGTAGAATAGCGGAGGTAATTGGATAAACCAAATTCACAGGCACCGACCTTACCCAGCATTGAAGATTATAGGTGGAAGTAAGTAGATAAAGAATAATTCTTCACTGAATCGTAACAGACGAGAGCTTTTCCACTTGCTTGTGCATAAGATGATTGTTCCAACAACAAACCCCTGTTTGTCATAAATACCAGTAACAGATAAAATAGACGCAACGAAATGTTTATCATGACCCCAAATGTTTAAGTTTTTGTACAAATGATTTTCCTTTACATGTAGAAACTAGTAACCAGTCGAACAATAAAATAACAGCTAAATGCGATCGAGAAATGGAGTAATTGATTATGATGCGAAATTGAGAAGAAAGAGAAAAATCTTACGATGAGGATAGCAGTGATGGACTCGTTCAACCAAGGATACTCTTCAAGCAAGTGTCCAATGACTAAACATACACAGAGTAGCGCAACGAATAATGTGATCGGAACGACCTGACTATGAGTACTCTCGAGGTTCATCGTCACAGCAGAATACAATGTGGAATTTTCATTCATCACCTCCATTTTTTTACCTGTTTCTCGATCTCCGACCACCTCTTTACGTTTTCCGGATTAGAAATTAGGGATGCAGAGTAAGTGCGAGCGAGCCTGTTTTCCCGGAGCGGAAAGGGTAACCGAGTGGGGTGGATGCATCAGGAACTGACACGTGCCCGGCTGTCGATGTGAATGATACACGTGTGTTTCCAGGTATCCCTAACGAATTTTTTTTGTCTATTTTATATGGATGCTGATATTTCCACAAATGTTTCTTAGGCTACCCGGTATGGGAGGTATTTCACGTGTCTTGGGCTGAGGTGGCACCCTCTTCCACACGTGAACACCGCCCCCAAAGCCGGTGGGCTGCGTGTGACGTGGCTCCGGAGACGCGACGAGACGCCCAATCAAATTTCTTTATTTTCTAACGTTCGGAATTTTGTAAGTAAACGGTTATATAACCGTTTAAACATTAAAAAAAAATTACTTTTTACAATTTAAACACAACCATCTACACCTATAAATTATCCATTATTCTACTTACAATTTACACTTCAAAAAACAATCTCTATTTTATTACCTTCTACAAAAATACCTCATCTCTCATATTTTTTTTTCCTCTCTACATGGATTCAAATCCAAACACCCCAAACACTCCAAATGCAAATGTTAGCTACATGTAATTGTTAACATCCTCAATCCAACAACAACCTCTATTCACCACTTCATACCCCAAAAACTTCTACCAACAACAACCACAACAATTCAATCAACCTCAATTCCAAGCCTTTCAACAACAACTTTCTCAACAATTTCAACAAACTTCTTTTACACCTCAACAATTTCAACCATCTCAATCTCAACCTATAAATCTCGACAATGACGACGACGACGAACGGGTCCAAGAAACACAACAACCAACTCGTCGAAGGCAAAAAAAAACAAAGATCCAAGAAAAAAAAACTACCGCATGGAACGAAGACGAGGAGGAAGCTTTAGCGAAAGCTTGGATTTTCATATCCCAAGACGGGGATGTCGCCAACGCACAATCGGGTCAAAGTTTTTGGTGTCGTATTTTAGATCATTTCCACGCGTTATTAGGAAAGAAAACGGAGCGGACGTACGACTCGATCAACGCAAAATGGCGTGACTTACGAGCGGCTTGCACCAAATTCAATGGCATATTTGACAAGCTTAAAAACATGCATAGAAGTGGTAGCAACGACTTCAACGTTTTAGCAACCGCGGCCTACGAATACAAAATTACCACCAACGGTAAACCGTTCGGGGGACCAAAAAGCGTGGGAAGTTTGTCGTAACGGTCCAAAATGGGTTCTATATCCGGAAATGGCGCATTCAGGATCTACAACCGGTTCCAACAAAAGGGCAAGAACGTCCGAGTCGGACGTGGGTTTTGGACTCGACCTCAACGATGACTTCAACGCCATCGAGGGGGAGGGCCCACCGGACGTCCAACTTCGTCGATCACCGGGACGGGACAAAGCGAGAAAGGGAGTGTCTTCAAGCGGAAAAGCACCGGCAACTAGCAACAGCGAGCTTGCGACATCCATAGATAAAGCTATAGTTTTTCTAGAAAAAACGTATGAATCGTCGGAGGCAGCTAATCGCCAAAAAATAGCTCTTACCGATCTTCAAATCATAAACACAAAGCCCCAACCGGATCTCGACCCGGAAAATCTTGCGACATTTCTTAAAATTCAACGACAAGTCCGGGAGAAATATGGAATTTAGGTTCTAATCTCAATGGTTTTAAGTAATTTAGGATTTTATTTATGGTTTTAAGTAATTTAGGATTTTAATATTTTTATGTTTTTTTTTTAAGAATTTAAGAATTTTAATTTGTGTTTTTTATATTAATGTAATGTGGTTTTAATTTTAATGTTTGTGTGTTTTTTATTTAAATTATGGTTTTATTTTAAATTATGGTTTGTATTTTGTTTTTATTTAATATAATGTTAAAAAAATAAAAAAATAAAAAAAAAGGAATTTGTGGAGTGGTAACCATTTCAATGTTTAGTGGGTTGGTGGTGGGTTGGGTGTGAAGCTGACGTGGCGCACATGTGGCAACACTTTTCCGGTGGGGTGGGTGTGATCGCTCCCCATAGCCTTATACATCCACAGACTTCCAGAGGGAAATGACAAGTATGTCCATTTATGTTTAGAGGGTAATATATATCTTTATTAATATTAATATAACATATCTTTTTTAATCCAACCCCTTTTTTCTCCCCTTCCGTCAACGTCCACCCTCACTTTTCGTCGACACCCACACCGAAGACCTTCAAACCACACCTTCGTCGGAAACAGCTCCTTCTGCCGCCACCTGCAAAATCGAAAATTATTTGAAGAAAACCACCTATAAGTACCAAAATCACCTACAAAACCATTGCAAAACCACCAACTAAATCGACAATTTCAACTTCAAGAAACCACCTGTAAGTACCAAAATCAAAACCACCTTTCAAAATTAGATTTTCTGGTCCATGGGGTTTTATGTGACATCCCCATTTTCACGGCCAGAAAAGACCGATTTTTTGTTTATGCTTTATAAAAAATCAGAGTACCTCTTTTAATAAAAATGTTGCGGAATTTGTTCCCAGAAAACATGATAAATATGTTATCAAAGCATTTCCGAAGAAATGTATTTTTATCCATTTTAAAACATTTGGGATGTCATCGTCAATACAGAAACATAAGCATAAACAGAACTTACATTCATTATCACTAGTGATTTATATCTCCTTAATCTCTCAGTGTAATGTAACTTCATATCGACACATGTGATACAAATAAACTGAGTGGGTCAGGTTGGGAAACCTGGTGAGTACATAGGGTTTTCAACCCACAATAATATAATTATTAAGTTTAAACATCCAACAATCAACCCAATTACCTATCCCCATTATCTTCTTTACTCTTAAAGATCTACCCTAAGAATTCGTTATTCCTCGTTCATTCATTCCTAAGGATCATCCTAAGGAATGGGCACGAAATCCATCGTTGTCAGGGTTTACTCTACAGGCACTAAGTCGCATAGTCGCCAGGATATAGGCACTAAGTCTCATAGTCGCCCGGGTTTATACAATAGGCACTACGTTGCATAGTCGCCAGGGTTATACAACAGGCACTACGTCGCATAGTCGCCAGGGTTTAGGCACTAAGTCTCGTAGTCGTCGTAGTTATCTCGTTTATCGACAATATCGTTTCCGAGAATCCACTCGCAATATGTGTCAATGGGTTTTTCGAGTACAGCTGGTGAATACACAGTTCAAATACACCTACAGGTTGCGAGCCTGCTAGTGTTCCACTGGACTGTCTAGAATAGTCCGTGGTTGTCATCCATACTCTGCTAGATGACGGGGCCAACACTTGGGTAAAAGGATTCTCTCATGGTTCACCTCTCACCCTTATCTCGTGGTCTATATCACCTCGAATCATTTTATTTTTGTCAGACATCAACTATTTCATCTACCCATGTTTTACCCAACACATTTTATAGATATAAAATACATATACAGTTTAAATCATTTAAAACATGTATAAAAATCTTTAACCCAGCATAGACGGCAAGTATACAGACAATATGCACACGTAGCATGTAATTTTATATTAAATACTTCATATCTATGTGTAAGATGAAAGTAACTATGCACTCACTTGAGAAGGTGGTGACTCGGTACTCGGACAGCACTTCGTTATCTCAAAACAATTTTCCCTTGACAAAACCTAGTATCAATACCACTAGGGTTTAGTCTAACGTTAACCGCGACTAATTAATAGTCTAGCTATTATTATTATTATATAAGCGTTAAACAACACTCTATATAACTCATAATAATAGCCTAAATAATTATTTTAAGGTCCTAATAATGTTACTATAATTATTTAAAAGCTATATTAAAAATTGCATAGGCGTGGCTCACTTACAGCGGGTTTTATAGAAAACCGGGCTTCGCTTGGAGTAGCGTTTCCGAACCGAAAGACTCTTTTTCTCGGGACTCCGGGAGCCCCGGGGCTTCCTTCGGGTGCTAGGGGTTCACCTAGGCTTTAGGGGGGGTTAAAAACCCTAGAGAGAGAAAGTAGTGAGAGAAAGAATGAAGAAATGAGTGAGGAATCCGGAACATTTCGCATGGTATTTATAGGGCTGGACTTCGGACCGTACGCTGGGCGTACAACTCAACTACGTTGGGCGTAGTTCGGATAAGGGGGGCCAGCTCGCATCCAGCTGTCTCGCACGTGGCCTGATCTCGGAGTGGATAAGAACCAAAGTACGCTGGACGTACTCGGCCTCAGACGCGGGGCGTAGGCGAGGCGACGTGTCACTCATCCGATGCGAAGCTTGATCAACATAGAACGGCCCAGATGCTGCCACGTCGTCAATCTCGCAACAGGCTTTGCATTTTCGAGTTCCAACTTCAAAAATTCGTATCTTCCTCATATTAGCTCTGTTTTCAACGTTATTTAGATCCACGCGTAGCTGGGAACGTACTCTACAACTTTTGTTTAGACTCCGTCGGCTAATTTTGACTTTATTTTAAAAGTTATATTATTAACAGGCCGGGACAAGATTGATCCGTTAAAAATTTCATAACTTCTTCATCTGACTTCCGTTTTCGTCTGTCTTTTTATCGTTATGCTACTATTAACGAGATCTTCGATTCTCGTTTAGGTTATGTCGGCTAAAAAACCGCTCGATCTAATATTCGAACTTCGGTTGTACACTGCTAAGTCGAAACTTCGAAAAATCCTAACTTCCTCATACGAAGTCAGATTTGGGTGTTCTTTTTATGGACGCTATCGGTTTAACGTATTCTACGACTTTCATTTAGGTCGCTAAGGCTAAAAGTCGCTCTATCATAAATTCACTATTTACGCTTCCCGGTGTCGTGCCGGTTCCGTCGCGAAACTTCGACGGGTCATAACTTCTTCGTTATAACTCGGATTTCGGCGTTCTTTATGTGTACGGAACCCTTCAGACATATTCTACAACTTGGTTAAGATTGTTTATT